CCCCAAAACCCCAAAACCCCAAAACCCCAAAACCCCAAAACCCCAGAATGGATGTCACAAATTGATCATCTGAGATGGTAGTATTTAAGAAATTAAATTTTAAGCCAATTAATAAATTAATTTAAATGACACAGAATATTTCAGCATTAAAAACAAACGGAATAATGGGAGGACTTATTATTGGTAGCACCATAGTAGGAATCCTTCTGAAGATTATTTCAAGGTATACAGTGGATGGGAAGCAATTTAAACATCCATATTTCATTACAATGACCTTCTTTTTGGGAGAAGCTCTTTGTTTGCTCTTCTACCATTTGGACCCAAGGAAGAACACTGAGAAGGAAAGAGCCTTATCTAAGGGCTTAAGAGTGAACAGCTCTCCATTCTTGTTCATTATTCCAGCTTTACTCGATGCACTTAGAAATCTTTTGTTCATCATTGGAGTCATGTTCGTACCAGCCAGCGTCAGCAATATGATGGGTGCACTCGTTGTTGTGCTTACCACAATACTTGTAAGTAGATTCTCTCTTACTAAATATACTTCTAAAAGCTCTTTCGGCACGATTTTACTGTTTTGATCATAACAGCCACTTATCTTTCATTATAGGTCAGAATATTTTTGAAGAAGAAATACCATAGACATCACTTACTCGGACTTATCTGAATCTCAGTTGGAGTTTCCTTTGTTGTAGTGGCCCAGTTCACTAATCCTAGTCGTTCGAAGGACCAGCATTCTCATCATGAACTCATTATTGGAATCACGTCTATAGTTATTTCAGTCTTGATCCAAGCTGTACAATTTATTATCGAAGAAAAGCTCCTCTCAAACGTGTATGTTAGTGCTAGAAGAATTACAGGATGGGAAGGAATCTGGGGTCTTCTATTCTTCATTATCTTCCTAAGCATTGCTCAGAACGTTCAGTGAGACAACCACTTGTGCCATAACGGAGTCCTTGAGGATACTGTATTGGCCTTTACTCAGGCAGCTCACTCTCCATTCATATTGATCAGTTTGTTGCTTCTTGCTGTCTTCGGATGTCTTCTGAATACTTTTGGTATAATGATTACCAAGTTTGCTTCCTCAGCTCATAGAGCCACAATAAGCCAAGTGAAGGTCGTACTCATCTGGATCTTCTTTCTACTATACTCTGGATACGGAACAGGAGAAGACTTCCTCGTTTTGCAATTCATTGGCTTCATAGTACTAGTATCAGGGGTGATCATATTCAATGAAATATTGGAGATTCCAATATTAGGTCTCAATAGAAACACCAAAAAGTCCAAGGACTTGAGAGATGCATCCATCACTACTAAATCCGTCTGGATGCTGAATGAAGACATCTCTCATGACGGAGATATGACTCTAGTAGAATCCCATCCATTATCTGTGGATTCTAAGGCATCAATATATCATAACGTGCTTGCTAGCACGAGGTCGTACGATACCTCAATCTAATTAATCTAACCTAATCTATTTCTTCAATACTAGGTATTTTATATGGGGTTTTGGGGTTTTGGGGTTTTGGGGTTTTGGGGTTTTGGGGTTTTGGGGTTTTGGGG